TATATATATATATATATATATATATATATATAAGAAAATACGAATAAACTAATTCGTTGGATGCAGCCATAATTAGGAATACCATAAAATAATAATGAAATAAATAAGTACATTCAAAATAAAATAAGAATAAACGATTTGTTTATTTGAAATTAAGCACAAAGCTACACAATGGGCTATCTGTGTTCTGCCCACCACGGGTATCGAAACCCGGATTCTAGCATTGAAAGTCCGCAGACATACACAACTGAAACAAAATCTGTACAATAATAAATAGAAAAGGATGGAATAAAGTAAATATAACTATAAAAATGTACCAATAAGTAAGAACAGTAAAGACAGCTATAATAATAATATGCATAAAATAATAATAATAATAATAACACAAAGTTGGCATTGATTATAACAATATAACAAGAAATAAGACCATTGAATTAAACATTTCTATTACAATGCATAAATAGAAATTTACAAAAAATACCCACAAATTATTAAATACTAATTAACCCTTTTCAGCTCGCGTATTCCGGGTAATTATCCGGAGAAAATGTGCGACGTCAAAATAAAATTATAACTGAAATGTTGAGATTTTAATTTTTTTTCAGACAAGTTTTATTAACATTGTTTTGGATAGAATTTTAAAAAATCGAAACTGTAGCATTAATTGTAGGTTTTTTTAGTCTCCTGTTGTACTGGCCCGGCATGGCTAGGTGGTTAGGGCACTCGACTCGCAATCTGCGGGTCGGGGATTCGAATCCCCGTCACACCCTTTCAGCCGTGGGGGGCGTTATAATGTAACGATCAATCCCACTATTCGTTGGCGGTGAGTGGTGATGACTAGCTGCCTTCCCTCTAGTCTTACACTGCTAAATTAGATACGGCACAACTTTCTATGTTGAATCTTGATTTATTCGACTACCGTTGTTTCTATCGTTGTTTCTAGTGAAAGGATCTCAAATCCAGAGTTTAATTTTCGATTTATTATTAAACATTTCACGTGTGAAAAAGATCGTGCAGACCCTTAACTAAATATTTGGTGAGACATTTGTTGTACATCAATGCATAACAAAATCAGGGTATTATGAGTTGGTATTATTTGAACCCTTTTTCCGTAGAAACTGGAATAATATTACTGCTACTCTAGAGTAATGTAAGTTTTCTCTCTTTTTTTTTTCGAATCCCCGTCACACCAAACATGGTCGCCTTTTCAGCCTTGGAGGCGTTATAATGTGACGGTCAATCCCACTATTCGTTGGCAAAATAGTAGCCCAAGAGGTTGCGGTGGGCGGTGATGACTAGCTGCCTTCCCTCTAGTCTTATACTGCTAAATTATGGACGGCTAGCGCAGATAGCCCTCATGTAGCTTTGCGCGAAATTCAAAAACAAACAAACTCTGTAAGCTGCGGAAAGGTGATATATTAACTTAATGTGCTTCTCTGCGTGTTTATTCATTTTACTGAAGTAACTGTTTTAACAGTTAATTTTTTGTTACTTGACCCTGAGACGAGACTTTACGTGAGGTCAACATACTTTTAGATATATTATTATATGTAGACCATAGATAATTTTAAACTATAATATAGAGTGACATAAATCCAATAATGATTTGCTCTAAAATCACATTCAGCGGCAGAGTGATAAAACTATACCTTGACCACGCAACATTTTATGAGCTTTGCATCTACCCATGTCTTATATTGCCCATAGGAAATGTATCCCTAACACCTGTGAAATTTTTGTCCAACCAGGCTTTATTGTTTTTCTGCTTGACCAATGCCTATAGCCATGCTGTCCTCTGGCATTCCCGATGAACATCAGCCAACATGGCTCACAAGTCAATCCAGACATATTCCCTATGTTATTTGCTTCTCAAATGGATAGAACCAAGATCCAGTATGAAAGGAAGCAGACTGAAGCTGTGAAACATGTTCCTACATGCATGAGTTATCTTGTGTTAGATGATGCCATCTCTTACTTTTGATCATTAAGATTCACCAATGCTCACATTATCTCTCCTTAGGGGTCTTATTCCAGATATAGATTTATTACTAGCCTGTTGTAACTTACATTTATAAATGCCTGCATTTTTATGTGTTATAACTGTACATTGTATTGAAACAATGTCAGAATATTTAGAACATCGTGTGCTTATAAATGCGCCAGTCTACATAATTCAAAATATCCTATCATAACAAAAACAAAATAAAAAACACTGAGTACACCAAGTTTACATGTGTTGTGACATCTAAACTATTGTTTGTGAATTTCCTTTACTACTGATAATTTCACCTACTCCTGAATATTTAAATTAAATATATTCGAACTATCCTGCGTTACTGTAGTGTGAGTTTCTTTGTTACTCTAATCCTTTCTTAAAAATTCACTGCATGCTGAATATTTCAATGTTGAAATTAAAACGTTCTCTTACTAGCATTAATGAAAATAAAAGGTGCACTGTGTATTCAAACAATACCTTCCAAGGAACTGATCACAGTTAACTTCATATCACAAGGTCTTAACATTCAAATCAAATCCTTTGCTTCTGTCTACATGTTGCTTAATTGTAGTAGTCTTTGTGTAAGTGATCCAATTGTATTATACAACACCCATTATCAATAACTTTATGTAACGTTCATACATAAGACAACACACACACACATATTTATTTATAGATATATATTGCTATAGACATATCTCACCATTAAATTTTTTTCACATACTATTGTAGCTTATAATAGACTACCTGTAGCTCCCACACAAACAAATTACTTTGATAATCTTCTTGGGTTACTTTCCGAACTATAACTCTTTGGCTGAAATCTCATAATATGCTGCCATCTATGAGCCATCAAAATTAACTTGTATTTTGTTTCAGACATCATAAAATATATAATCACTGGCAGAAGTCAGATGAATTGATACTAATAAGCTAAAATTCTTATCAGCCAGATTTAGCATTTGTGTTTTTACTACTGTATATCAATATACACTGAATAATATTTTGCTTCAGAAATTCCATTTCTAGCCTTATCAGTCATTAATTAGTAAACCACATGACCATCGAAATTGATCATAATGAAACAATTATCATCCAATGTCTGGCTAATATCTCCTATAGTGAAATTTTTCCAGATAGTTCAGAGAGCAAAGGTTGCAAAGCCCTTTTGGTCCCATTAAACCAGGAAACCATTGATGGGGATTCAGCCTATTCCCTGGAGCTGTATTTTACTTCTAACTCCAGCACTTCCTAATCTGTCTCCTTCAGGACAATCAGGTAAGTACTTTCAGTTTTCTCCTCAGTGGATGAATAAAAATGACTTGAAATATTATCTTATTTTTCCCTGACTTTTTAGCCTCAATCCCTAGCTCTTAATTGAGCCAGTGCACTAGAATTTCATTTGTGAAACATGGATGCAACTCTCCAACATGTGCTATTGTATGCTCCGCTTCTGCTATAACTCACAAGTAGACTGATCTGCTTGGGAATAGGTACATCCATGTCCAGTTGGATCTGAGCTGCTAGGCTCCATGCTGATAAATTCATTAATTTACTATCTTCTGATGTTTAGCAGCCTTTCCTAGCTGTTGACATGCACACTTATGCGAAACTGAGAGCGCCACCAACATAGTGGATATGTTACCCTTAGACAAATATTCAGTGCCTGGTTAAGGCAAATTGATCATCAATTTTGGATGACCCCAGGTTTCTTCGTGGTCCATGGATATCTCCCAGCTTGGAGAGGCTCTTGACTGCCCCATGGTTCTCAATTTGTAGTTGGTGTACAGTGTCTCATCTGCCAGGGAAACAGCTCTGGCATGTCCATGCTTCCCTTACACTAATTCTCAGGTGTAATGTCCAATTTGCCATTTTGAGTGTATTAGACACTGGCTGATCTTCCAAAGTCTGTGGCTGCAGAGAAGTTGAAATAACGCTGACAAAAGTCTGACATCACAAGAGTATTCTCCCGCACCTGACAACTCTCGTTTAACTATTTCTCTTCAGCAACTAACTTTTTCTTTTAGTTTTGAGTACTTTCATGAGTATAAAATGCCATTATTCAAGTAAAAAGCATTTCTTTAAAGTCCAGAGTTCAAGTAAAGGCGATACTTACGTTAACAGAAAATTAAACTTTTCACAATAAAATTCTGTGTTCATAATACCGAAATTATGATACCATGTAGTATTTTGAAATAAACTGATTTCTCGGAAGATTACATATGATATGTGCATTATGTAATGGGAGATTTGGTAAGATAACTTACAAAATAATACTGAGTTCTGCAAAAAATAAGTGAATCTGTGCTAAGAAATAAATGGGGCGGACACTAGAGTGGGATGCAGAGTAAAAAAATAATGTTTATTTTACACAACACAAATTAATAACGCATGTGCTTCACCATATGAATGGTGGACTGCCACCTTTACCAGAGTTGTGAATTGATCAGGTTGGCCCTACTCCTTCAAGATGTATTTACAAACTGGTCATTTCGCTGAAAAAGATGTTCCATAGTGTGTAAACACTAATTACATAGTTGATTCGGTAATATATGATATACCAAAACAAGTAGCGCTACCATTCAAACACAATGAAGGTTGTATTCTCGAGATATCATATGCAAAGTGCAGCTTTGCAGCCACCCCCCTCCCCCCTCCAAAGGCAGGCCAGGTGTTACATCAAAGGAGTAACTGAGAACAAAGATAGGTAGAATAATGTAAGGACTTTTTGGCCATATAATGTATGAAAACTGCACATACCTAGAATAAATGAGAATTGTACTATATTGAACAAGACAAAGGCTTCAGTGCAGAATACCAAAAGTTTCTCTTCATTTTTCTCACACGTCTACGCCAACTGTGTATTCATTGAAGCTAGTATCGACTAATGTAAATTAAATATGATTTTGAAACAGCTTAGAGCAAATATCGCTCCACTGTCGTCAGAGTGAGACCGAGACTTACTTGCGAATGATATGTCTGTTCTTCTCCCTGGGTTTTAATGTCATATTCAGGTGTATAAACTTCCTGCGAATCAGAGTAGGTCACCCACACCAATCCCGCGAATAGGAGAGTTGCCTGAAAATCATATGGCAAGCATGAGAGTAAATCGTATTACATGAATCACCTGAAAATACCAAGTAAAACTCAAGAAAAATTATATGTAGTTGGATTTATAAATAATTAATCTTACATTTTATTATAAATGGGTAATCTTAGTAATGATACGTATTGTAACATGAAACATATTTGGTCGTAATGGAAAAAAAGTCCACAGCATTGTCAGAAGAATATTTAGGTTTCTAGCCAACAATTCTCATTAGCCTAGTTAGGTTTGTAATAGTTAATATTGTCCAAATAACTTTGAATGTCTCTAGAGAATAGGAAAATAGCTTGCTTCAGGTTTGGAGCACGTTTGGGAAGTAGTTTGGTTTAGTATATGTTAAATAAAAAACCTTAAGTGGCTTTAATAAATACAGAAACTATCTGTTGTTATTGGTGATGTACAATTTAAAATGTTCCAGAAAGTTTGTTTTAATAATTGGTAATCAAAAAACAATTTCCAACTAGTCATCAGAAAATCAGTTGTGAAAGTTTTTTTTAAGAAAAGATTTATAAATAAGCTCTTTGTAATGGGAAAAATCTTTACCTCATTCACTGTGTGCAACATCGAGGTATGAGAATTGTATTCACTGTTTCTAACATTCACTTATTAACTGTCTTATTTATGATGTTTTATATAAACTTACCAATAAACTGAGTATTAGCAATCCATTCTAGTTACAGAACTCTCCTCACTTCTTATACAAATAGTGGAAAAATAAATTTTTCCAATTAATTATTTGTAGTTAAGCACAAAATTACACATTGGGATATCTATACTGTGCCCATCACGGGTATCGAAACCCAGTTTTTAGCGTTATAAGTCCGTAGACTTGCTGCTGTGCCACTAAGAGGCCTTTCCATTTGAAAATGGAGAATCATCTAAATCGAATGTGATTATGACGAAATGTTTTTATTTCAGTACACACCAAACATGCTCGCCCTTTCAGCCGTGGGGGCGTTATAAT